GCATTTCTAGTAACGAATTCAGTTCCTTTTTGTTTTTCACTTGTAGCTACCGAGAATATTAAAGGCACTGCATCCGGTGCTCTCATAGACGGCATTAGGTATTCTTCAGATATAACACCGAGTGTTTACCATCACAATTTACTTTAGTTGAGCTTCTTCGCCGTTCGGGTTTCCAACCAGCCTGACGAATGGCTGCAAATCTTAACTCTGTTCATTCATCTCTGCTACCGCTGCCTTTGTTACATTAGCTGATTTTTCTATTTCGAATTTCATCCTCGCCTGCAAAGGTCCTTTATATCCCGACGATTCTGTCGACTGGATTGCGACACAACCCGATGGCCCCCTATCCTTAGTCGAATTGATGGTCTAATTTCGACGATCATGGTCTCCTTTATCTCGGACATATTACTGCAATCTATTTACTTATTATCCTTAATTTCTCCAGGTCTGGTATACCACTCTAACTTTGCTATCGTTCGGCTCCATACCACGCCTAATCTGGCGATGCCTTCTGTGTTTCACCGCTCCAAGTACCCGGGATTAGGTTGCCGATTTCTGTGACTGAGCAGCAGGTCTTCGCAGCTATGGGATCCACCTGTTTGCATAAATGTGTACCATAAAAGAAAAAATAATTTCCATCGTGGTCTTTCTTCACGGGACCTGACGACTAGGTTCCCGACTTTCCTCATGCTTACCCACGATAAAACGAGAATTGTTCACTTTCATCAATCACATTTTGTTCATGATTTACTGTTTCTTCCCACAAGCCGGCAATCTGTAAAACACGTTTCCTGTAGACAGAATTTCATATTGTTTTGATCGTGAAATAGTTTGTGATGACTTACAAAGATAATAGACAGCTGTTTGATCGTCGTTGAGACTCCGCAACAATGCGTATTCTTGTGTGTCTCAAACGGGATTCAAACAGCGAATCTTTGGGCCAGGACTCAGCCTGTATCTACGAGCTAAATGGTTGACGGCCAGCACCGCGTGTGCATAGTTACACAAATTAGTTCTTCACGTTTTCAGTTTATCCGAGGTGAATTCGCACACTAAGGTTTGTTTATTGATTACACGGTGTTGACCATTAACTGTGTATCTCAGGGGAAGGGGCTCCTGTGCCGAGCATGACATTTCATGGTTCAAGTCCCACTCGCAACATAAATGGTACACATCGTTGACGAGTCCCCAAGGTAGCGCAAAAGCTGTCAACTGCTTTTTATCGGCTCTTACTCACGAATACGACTCCATTGAAATATATGGAACTAGCGAGGAATTGAGAAACTCCCAAAGAATGAAACACACGCAACCCAGGTGTCTGTAGATTCGCATGGGTTAGATCAGAAACATATGACAGGAATAATCTGGGTTTGATTTGAATATCCCTCTATTACTGTGTTTGTGTATGGCAGTTTTAAATTGGATTTGTGTGCTCCACCGTGGCCCACTTTCACCGTGCGATACAATAAATCTACTGATTGCGAAGAAAAGCCAGAACTTCATTACCCTAGAGTATAAGCTAGATAAAAAAAAACACTTTGGTAATGACCACCATTTCACCCGGACTGCCACAATTCGCACNGCATTTCAGCATATTCGGTGTGGAAAAAATACGATTTCCTTCGGCTGCCCTTATTATACTGCAGTGTATTAGCTTGGAAATTTGTTTCTGCGTTACACACCGGTCATCTGAAGTATCTTGCCATTTCGTTGCAGACCATCTCGCATCCAATGGATCTGGGAACAATTTACAACCGATTGTGCTCTCGTGCATTCTATCACTCGGCGAGCGAATACTTGTCAGATGTAACGCTGATGTGTGAAAATGCCATGGTGTACAATCCTCCGGACACAACGTACTATCAGCGCGCTCGAAAGGTGTGTTACTTTGCATCCTATATGCTAGTTAGGACTGGGCGTTAATCAGCCTTTCTTTGAACTTTCTTTGAATTAGGGAATGACGATATTCGATCACTTCTCTCTCTACATAGGTGGTCTTGTGGTAAATGAGATAAGTGACGATGCACGTATAAAACGACTGAGTGCCGAACAGTTGGTTAGAACACCATACAGTGGAGTTAAGTTAGCTAGTTTCGTGTCAGTCTACAATCTGTCTAAAGCAAATACCGACGCGTAGGGTTGACAGAAATTTGGTCTGTTGGAGGGAAGGACAAATGGGCCTGACACAAGCCTAACACAGTACACAGTCTAATTGTACATATCCAATAACACAATCATACATTATCTAACATCATAGATTTAAGTACTGTCGGTTTGCTTCCGGTTCCTTTACTGTCACCGGCCAAATAGTTTCGGGATAATTTTCTTCCATTCTGTAAGCCTAGTGACATTTGTTTAATCTCTTTGTACTCACACCAATTTGTTTCGATACTGGATTCCCAAATAATCACAATCCCGTGACGTTTCTTGTCCTGAAAGCAATTCCACGGGTAGTGAAATAGAACACAGTTGGATGCGTGTAGAAATTCATCTAGTATACGATGATATCTGACCTCTATGTGATTGCTTGTTCCTCTTTTCCTTGTGATCCAATGATCTCCACACGGTTTCTTTCACCTTGGGCAGCAGTTGTAGACGGTGCCGTTCAACAGAAGGCTGCTGGACGTTCGCAATACATGTGTTCACCACTGGAGGTTAGCCTAAATTTGTTGCTTCAACAGACTTTTTGTCGAGACACTCCAAAAGATACGATACTTAAATTCGATGTTGTTGACTCGCTCTCCCTCTTCTATCTATGCAAAACTGCACAAGGATGAACGACCGAAAAAAGCCACGCGAACAGTTTTTTTCCACAGGCAAGCAGAACGTTGCGCGCTACGTCACAATATATATACATATATACCCATTTATACACCGCAGTCAGCTTCCCGGGGGAGCATAGGTTTTTCTATTCATCAAGTAAATGTCTAGAACAAAGTTTAACTTGTCCTAATGCTTTTAAATGGAAGCTTCATACGTTTTTCTCATGTTGATCTTTGTTTGGACTGTTTGTTTTCGTCACGATTTGCATCATGTTACATGGAATTTTCTGGGTTTCAGCTTCTTGCATATTGTCGGAAACAGATGACACCGACAGCTCTTCGTAAATTGTGTGACCAATTGGAGTTAACCGGTGGATTGAAGGATTCCGAATTGGGTGATATTCAGTCACCAACCGATGCGTTTTCTCGACATCACAAACTAAATCGTGGCCATCATCGGCGTCTGATCACCGGGAGGGATTCTTTGGCAAGTGGTTCTTCTCGACTAGTATCCGGTTCTAGCAGTTGGCACGGAATACAACGGAACACATCGGGTACAGGATTGACACGTTACTCCGGCTCTCGCGCCTCCAGTGGACACGAGAGGCGTTCATCTCATCAAATTGGTCGACCTTACAAAGATCGATCATCTGATACCGCTTCAATTTCCTCTCCGTTCTCTCCGTACGGAAAGAGACAAAGGAAATCTAGTCAGGTAAGCTTATGTTCAATAGCATAGGTCTTAAATGTATGTATGTATGTATGTATGTATGCACACATGTATACAGACAACAGGGTGTTTATCTAATTAATTATGGCACAAGCACATTGAATACAAAGAAATCACTGTATAATTTATTCCTCATTGCGATACTGCGACGTTTCCAAATTCAAAGCAAATAATTTGCTTAGAAATTCATAATCGGTGCCTTAAGGCAACCAAAGCCTGACACATAAGACAGCAGGGCTGTATAAGAATGTTGCTTCGTTCACGATCACTCACAAACAAGACAACCCAGATAACAACCACTGACACAATAAAACAAAAGCGGTGTGCGATAGTGTGTCCAAACCACGAGTTAACACAGCATAACAACCCACAATAGTAGTGCCACTCACTACTGATGACAAACGAGAGGCACAGATTGGACACTCCCAGCAACGTGCACGTTATCACAGAGCGTCAACACACACACACACACACACACACACACACACACCCGGAGATACGAGGTAAATTCGAACACTACGGAACGCATACCGCCACGGCCACAAATGTCGTCTAACCTCACGAGTACGATCACAACACGGATTGCACGCCACAAGCACTAGTAGCCTTCTCCCAGCTACGTACACAAGAACACGGGCGGTGAACAACGAGCGTGTAATTGACAAACCCAGAGCAAGTCGAATTTACAGTGTCAGATCCTCTGCTTATATACTCTTTCGGTCTCCGGACATAGACAAATTGATGCAAAAGCGAGAAAATTCACAGAACCGACCAATCAGCTGCCGGCAGCTGGAGTGGAAAATGAAGGCCGAAAAAGCGCTAGAAAAGATTTACATCGTAATTTGAAACACTAGGTCCCCGAAACAATACTCAAAAAAGGCAATCGTTGGTAGCAGTCTTTTCACCTAACAGAGAACCTCTTTTCATACGTCGTTTTAATGCTCGTGTGCGACCGCTTATTCGGGCTAACCACTGGCACGGTCGCTTTTCTTTGGACCCGAACACTCCCGGTAGTGTTTAACTGCTTTATCCGTAGATCGAATCGGTATTAACACTGGGCTCATTCTACCTAGGGGTTTCAATAATCGAGAGCCGATAATTGTATCAATACAAGATCCAATTTCTTTCTTTCCTAACAAGTATATTTTCACTCACTTAGAGTTGAAGCATTTTGTCCCCTTTATCCATTTCATCAATATAGAAAGAAATCTCAGAAGATGTTCATATTTTGTTCATTCTTCTCAGTCACTGACTTTAAACAAAGAGGCGCATGTATAGGACACGGGGTTGATCAATTATGGTGAACGAACGTGTACAAGCATACAATGATTAGTTACCAAATATAGAAGTAGAAGGTCAAGTCGGTAAGTGGATTGTTTGTATCAAAACCTTTTGTGCGCATAAGATCGAGTGGTGTTATCGAATAATCAACGCTTCACTAAATGCCAGAAGTTCAGCATTGTGAATACGTACTGGTGGGTTGAAAGACAAATTAGTGTCAACTGTGTGTCTTGTTGTCATGGCATGTTATGCAACGGACGACCCAGGTTGGGGGTTCGACTCGAATTAGCGTCTCAGTCGGTAAAATGGTAGAGAAGTAATTGATCCAAGTTAATGAGTCTCTACTTCTCTTTACCCGCTGCCTTGCGGTCAGGTTCTTGTCAAAACTAAAGGTTTTGGACGAGAACCCTAGTCGTTCTCCTGCTTAGTGGCTGGACACCCTGGCAGTATCCGTCCATCAAATTCAAATGCATACACAATCAAAAAATAATTCTATACTGCATCGGTCATCGCGCAGGATAATCAGGACCTTGCTGCCCATTGCATCGAGCGGGGTGGGTAGTGATAAGTGGGCTACTGCTCAGATATTCCAGTCTTTGTTTAACTCTTTATCTTCCGTACGCAAACGTTTCCCTTTACCCCTTCTTCCAACCCGAAACATGCCCTCAGGCAACTTGTTCATCACTCGCCAAGGTTCGTTGCCAAGTAGCCCGGTAAGTAGTTTACCACAAAATAGATTGCAGGTTCTGAATTCTCGTCAGCCACTGAATCTGGGGCCTTCAACGTGAAGACTCTGATGCAGGTAGATCAACAAGCGTATCTGGCGCGTACAATGGACACTTTGGGAATTGATATCTGCGCGTGTCGGAGACTCGAATCCAGGATCCTAGTAATATATGCCACTTAAGTGCANNNCTTTGCTCATCCTCCATACATTCGAACAAATAAACGATGTCGTTAGAGTACTCAAAATCGCATAGTCTTTCTCCAGCTGCCTATTCGGTACCAACATTTTGGAGACCAATTGATAAGTTCTCCAGTATTTTGGTCTACGACGGAGTTGAATAAGTATGACAAAATAGGGCAATCTTGACGAACACCGCTCCTGATTTCGAACGACTTGCTTAACTCACCGTAGGCCCTGACGCTACCCGAAGTATGCAAGTACAGTGATCGCAATAAGTTCACATACTTTTGAGGTATTCCTTTGCGAAGAAGTGCACTCATTAGGGATTCACGATCAAGTGAGTCGAAGGCTCCTTTCAGGTCAAGAGACACTGGGATTAGTGATCAACGACGTGTGTGAATAACTTGTCTACTTTTGTCTGCGACAAAAGTGGGCA